TCTATCAACAATATTTGATTCGAAAGTATTTGAATGATTCTGTTCTTCTCGAACTATGGGTTTCACCCCTGCCTGAGCTTCGAGCTTGCACCGTCCCAGAATAACTATTCTGTTGTACAAGATGCCAAAGAATTCGTTATTAAAATGAAAGCTATCTCCTTACATCTATAAATCGAATTAACTACCAATCAAGTCTGATATTTGAAGAATATTGATATCTGCTATTCCTCTGTTTATAGATATCTGCCTGGTGATCTGATTTAATTAAATATTAGAAACATCAAGATCCTATACTTATAGAAGAAGCTCGATTGAAAGAACCTCGAGCCTTTCAAAATCCTAAATTTAATAGGCCTTTATATCTATAAATTGGAGCTTCTGGCTTTGATGAAGATTCACTCTGTTTTCCATGTCAATCTGCTATATCCTATATATGATGATCCTATTCCTGGGTAGTGTAATCTGTTATCACTTTCTGTAAAAATAAACAGCCTCGAGTGTTTTGAGATTGCTGAAATCCTGAACTCTTATTAGGAAAGAAGAGATTGTGGAAAACCTCGCCTGAAATACATTATCCAATAGGTCGGCTACAATACACTAACCAAAGAACCTATAAGCTATCTAGAAGATATATAAGAATTGATCCGCAACTTCCATTATAGATACCCTGACAAACCCGATCCCGCTTGACCGAACCCCGCCTACCTATAAATTATAAACTATAACGTACTACCTCGACGAAGCTCGACCCTTAAAAGGGGGGTAATGTCATGGTATAAGCTTATATGATATGCTAATCCTATCGAAGAGGACCGAAAGGAGCACTCGCACCGAAGCACAAGCAAGCTAGGACCCGATCGGGCTAGTTCGCTGTGAAAATTCCGTATATCTTTAACTCAGAAGATCCTGTATTGTAGCTCTTTAAGCTATATCTTAATCCTCAATCTGAACCTATTATCCGAATCAGTATAACCTTGCCAGATTAGGGCAAAGTTATTTATCACGGAGGTAATAGCTATGTCTAATGGTCACTTTGATCAGGAGATAGGTATATAGAGTGATAATAAACTAGATTGACTTGAGGTGTGATCATAAGGATCATACCTGCTTTATATACCCTGATCAGGCGATGGAGTCGCCTAATTAGGTATATAGGGTACACAAATGAACTGAGTGAAATAGTTTTAGTAATCATGGGAATGAGTACTCCGGAGGAGTACTAGGATTAATACCGTAGGGTTACACTATACGGTGAATTCCGTGACATTATTAGAACCCTATCCCGCCCGCCTGCCCCGTGATAAGAAATCGAAATTTATATATAAGTCTATCAACTTTGTTTTCGAATTAAAGCCTTCTGCCTTATTATACCCAGATTCCTAGAATTTCTATTTATATTATTTTGCCCCTGATCTGATATCTTTATTAACTATATCATATTGCTATTAATTAATGAATATTATGGTAAGAAGTATTAATATATTATTATAGTCATTTGTTATTTAACAAAAATATATTATTTCATTCTGATTATAGAACTCTTTATAAAGAAGTTTGCTAATCGGTTTATTAAGAAAGTCTATTATTTATATAGCTTATCCGATAATATTATATTTAATAGAGATTTGCAATTTGTATCAGAATTTTGGAAATATCTATTCGAGCATTTATCGATTATTTTGAAATAGTTTTCCTTATTCTATTCTGAGTTTGATGGATAAATAAAGAGAATAAATGCTATAATAAAATAATATCTTCGAGCTTTTATAAATTTTCATTAAGATGATTAATATGATTAGCTTCTGCTCGCAGAGTTTACACTTAATAATACAATCTCGGAAACTATTAGTATATCCTTATTCTTCATTAACTACAATTTTCATTCACATCTTAGTATTGAGCCCTTCTTATCTATTCCCCCGAATTTGTTATATCAACATAAACGCGAGTTCCTGAAAGCTAATAAAATCACAAATCGATTTGATATTATTCTAACAAAATTGAAAGCCCTAGTCGCTCAGTCTATTCAGAAATATGAAGATTATACTAATAAGATTTGTATTAATACTTTTTTATATAAAGAGGATAATAGAGTATAAATTAATATTAAGAATATAAAGATTAATTAATTAATAAAAAAAGGTGATAACAAATAAAACAATTTTTATAAGATTATCAAAGTTTACAAACAAGCCTGTCTATTTTAGCTTTCTATTAGTTTCAAGATCTTTCTAATATTCCATAATTTATTACTTTGATTATTCTATTATTTATCTGAATTAATCAGTCAAGAAATAATCAATAATACTAAATCCTATCGGAATTAAGAATATATTCTAAAAAGAAATAATAAAACGAATAAAGAAACCAAGCAATAGGAATTTAATAAACTATTTGATTATTATAATAAAAACGGATTTCATTATTAAATCAAATAAAAACATTATTCAATATTCTGGTAACCTATTGAAGATCTTTGCAGTCAGGAAAATATAATCATTGCTTTTCACTTAGCAAATTCAAATAAACCAGAATCATTTACTTAAATGGGTTTCAAAAGACCTATTATTTCTAATCCCCTATTAATATTTATATTAAGTGTATCCCCAAATCAAGACCGAAATAGATTTAAAAAGCTTTATTAATTGATTATTATTTCTAAAAAAGTTTATTTTAATTTAATAATAGAAATTAGAGTATTTTAGTGTTATTTTGTATTCTAGAAGGTTAATTAATATTATGATTATAGACCGATTATCTTAAATAGGGGATATTATTACAATACCAATTATATGATCTGTAGTTACCTTTGTACCTCAGATATAGAATATTAGCACGCCCTATTTCCTATAAGTAGGGCTTCACTCTTTTATAGCTCTTCTACTCTTATGGTACAATATAAGTCTTTACCCGTACTATAACAATATCATACTTCAAAATATCGAAACTATATCTCTAGTATTTATAGAGTTATAAAAAATCGCTCTAAGTACCTTTACAGACAAATTTTGGTGTAAAGGTACCTGACCCGGTTCCCCATATGACCCGGTTCACCATATGTTACGTTATATATTTCTATATTCATATAGTATACTAAGAGCGAATCACAGGATCACATGATCAAATCACATGATCGTCGCTTAAGAGAGCTCTTAGCCCAGAACGGCCTGAAAATCAATTCTTTATTAGCTCTTTATTAGTTCTTTCAATCCATTCGTAGTAAGATCGACATAGTACTAGCGAAATCGAATAAGGAATAAGAAAGAAAAGCTTTATTTGATGGAATGGCCGGATTAGGAAGAGATCTACGAGAAATAAACGAAAGTGGAAAGCTAGATTAGTAGGAAAAAGCATAAAATAAGGAAGGCCTTTTCCCCTCGAATATAGAAAAAGAAAATAAGAATATCATATACTGTTTCATGAAAATCACGTGTTTCATAGCTATTTAGTTGTTAATACGAGCCAGCTTCCCATAATAGACTAATATTAGTCTATTTGTCACGGGATCACCTCTGGGAGTATTCAGAAGCTTTACCGCTGAGCTAAACGCCCAAAAGACTAGGAGGTAGAACTGGAAGTTCTACCTTACTCTCACATATATAGCAGGACAGGACAGGACAGAAAGGGCTTAGTGTCACCCCGTGACACACGGCGACATCTTACAGCAAGTAAATCGACCAAGCAATCGCCAATCTGGTGAAGAATAAGCGCAAAAATGATGACTTGTTCTGTGAGGGCGCACGTACCCTCTGGGCACGTGACCGGCTATACTAGCCGTTTTAGCTAGCTCTCCAGTATAAGTTGGAAGCTTCGCTTCCAACTTCCTTTTTAGTCTTCATCAATAACTACACTTATCAATGATAACTCTTCTTTCGTTTCCTGAACCCTTTCACATGTTCTAAACCCCTGAAAACCACCTGCGGAACGATGACCACTAGTCTCGTCAAATTCGTCTTCGTATCTCTCGCATCAGTCTTGAATATCTATTTGGTCTCAAGCGGAAATTAGACTAGCATCAATACGGCCACAAAAACTATGAGTATCGCAGAAATATAAATAAAAAAAGCCTATCACGGGATCCATGAGAAATTTACTGAAAAAGGATTATACCGAGAACTCTCGTGAAGAGGAAGAACGACAACTCTCTTTGCATGAATGGACAACAGTGGACAATTCGGAGCGGTACGATATAAAGGTTGTTTCATTCTGGGTCCGAAAACTCTTGACTCGGACAAAGACGAACAGAGCGAAGATACTATGGCTAAGCAAGTTTTAGAAGTGAACTCGGCGAGTTTACAACCTCATGGCAATATCTTACGAAAAGTTTATGCTAAAATGAAGACAGGAGTCCGATTTTTCAGAAGCTCAGAGTCATACCGTAATAGAGATGTATAGACAGGCACTATCCTAAGCAATGACTATCCAAGTAATGTAGATGAATGATGTTTTCTTTACCCGTAGTTAAAGTGTTCTATGTAGAATCGAGTGGGTGATAAAGTGGAGAGCCTATTAAGTTGCCGGAGGCGAAAGTATTCGGGAAGTGGTGGTGGAGGCGGAATTTCATGAGAGGGACTTAGCATGTAGGGGTGAAGTGGAAGGTGTTCAGAAGGTGCAGATGGGATGTTACATCGTTGTCTTGAGCATTTCGTATTTGATTTGAAAGCTCAGATTGATGGGTGCATGAATAATGTTGGAAAATGCAGGTTTGATCAAGAATGATGACTGGTAATTGTATGGATATTGGATAACGACTACGCCCTTTATACGGGCCTCTTATACATAGTCAGTTTGTAAATTAGTTTGTTGTTAGAATGAGCCTCGTTGACATGGGCTTTGTACTTGACAGAGTTTTATGTTCACTTCTAGACTATTTTTACACACATTTTGGTAGAGATGAAAATGCGTCAAAAGCAGTCATAGGTTACAAATTAATTTACATCTATCTCTGACTTTTAAAAGCAAGAGGTCCTATTTAGGCTTTCGGCAAAAATATGCATGTCTCGGCACTCGGAAGTTAAAATATTTACGCTACTCATCTGGTCTTCCCACCGCCCTGAAATCACCTGTGTGATATATCACCTCCGGCTTAATAATCGAAATCCTCCACTGCCCCTCTACCCTCACAAATGTCTGTTGCATATACGATCTCCCATCCGATGTCTCCCCAATCTTACAATGCGGGTGATTGTAATCCTCGCCGGCTACTTTCCGCGCATGACTTGCTAGTTGCTGCCATTCTACGACAATTTCCGAGTCGGTAACACTTTTGAAATATGGTGCTCCTAACAGATGTTGGGTAGCGAGAGCTTTCACTCCGAGTTTTATAGAGCCGAGCCATTCTTCTACGAAAGCGTCTGCAGTGAAGATTTGTTGGCCCCATTCAGGAACGACGAGTGTATAGTCTACTATGATGTTTGGTGCGAGAGATGCCCGAAGTCGTGCTTTGTCCTGGGTGTTTATATTAGTAGGAAGAACTTTGATGACTAGATCACGAGTTTCATACTTTTCGATCATATCCATCAGCTAGAGTTCTACTACATTGTGTGATAGCAATGTAGTCTTGAAATGTGAGGTTTGAAGGGATATAGATTTCGAAAGCCATGGTCGTCTTGATTCAGTACTTTGATGTATGTCAAATGTCAATAGCAATGTGGAATTTCTATTAATACTATCGTGGGGAATATCTTTAGCAACGAACTTTAATTTTGGTCGAAACTCCAATCAATGATAGAATTGGCACTTGCCGATACTAGTTGCCGAAAATTCGAGTCGTTAGTGGGGCGGGTGAAGTAGACTACATCCCCACATTCCACTCCCGCTTACCCCAAATTGCATCACCAAGGAAGTGGATTGCCGAAGAATTTATTCTGCTTTATTGTTTCCATGGTGCTATTATTCAGTCGCACTCATTCTGTAGGAGTAACCTCGGAAGAATGTTACACGAAAAGAAAAGATGTCGAAACCAGAGTTTACCTTGAGAATCTCAATATATCCTTCAATCGAGCCTAAGCAATTCGAACAGTCCTTGACTGGCAAAGTTGCGCTAGTCACAGGCTCAGGTAGAGGTATTGGAAAGCATATCGCATATGCTCTTGCAAAATCGGGGGCTTCTGTCGCAGTAACTGGAAGGACCGAAAGTCAGGTAGACGAAACCACTCAAGAACTTTCGAAATCTTTCCCGGATGTGAAAGTAATCGGAGTTGTCGGAGATGTCTGTAAACGATCTGATTTGGAAAGTTTGGTTGGAGAGGTATGATTGAGAGTTTGTTTGGTCCGTCAATGGAACACATACTGATGAAATGACCTATTAGGTTACTAGCAAACTTGGTCCCATCGATATTCTTATCAACAATGCTGGCACAAATACTTTCATGCCCTTTCATATCACAGACGCAGAAGAATGGTGGAAACAAATGGAAATCAACGTTAAAGCGCCAACAGAATTAACAAGAATTGTTCTTCCCTCAATGCAGAAACGGAATTCCGGTACGATAATCTTCACGAGTTCTCGAGCAGCAGGTGCGGACTTGCCTTGGGCTTCAGGGTACTCGTGTGCAAAGACAGCCATTACAAGATTTGGAGGTGTTTTGCAAACAGAATTGAATATGCTTCAAAAAGATACTTTCGGCTTCGAGGAAAACGGTATCTCAGTATTCTCGATTCATCCTGGTGAGATCAAGACCGGGTTACATCAGACCGCTTATCCGGAGAAGACGAAGGTTGAGGCACCATATGTTATTGAAATGATGGCCAAATTACATAAATCACACCCAGAGTTCAGTATCGATTTACCAGCTTGGACGTGTGTTTATTTGGCTGCTGGGAAAGGGTCAGCTTTAAGAGGTCGATTGGTAGATTGCACCAGGGACTTGGAAGAAGTAAGAAATTTTGTGACGTCTTCGCCTAAGCTGAAGATCACAAATGCTTGTAGTTGAAAATTAGAGATGACTTCTCCATAATAAACTTTGTTGCTATGATACCAAACCCATATGCGAATGGCGGTGTAATCAATTGGCTTTTGACACGGAGCTATCCTGACATGCTTGATTTAAAATCTTTCAAACTTTGAGAGTTTTAATTTGTCTCGTTCTTCAGCCTCCAAAATTGCAGCCTTCGTCCCGGTAGACAATCTCCGACAATTGCTTAACCATAACAAGCCAAGTCCCCGCATTGATAGAGAATATATTGACCCTAATGTATGATTTTGACCACTACTAAAAAGTGGATTATTAGTTTGACGGTTTCTCGACATCTCAAGATAATGCTATTTGTCGGGGATTCCACGAACGAAAGTGGACGGAATGGATCTAGTACGCGCGTGCGGGGTACCCCGTACCCCAATACCAAATAGTAGGCTTTTCCGATTCACATGGAGAGAAATCGTAGTGGGCCATCCACTTCCCGACGGGATTATCAATTTGTATATCATGAATTTGCCCATGCTTAATTAAGACTCTGCAAGTATACGAAATCCGGGAAAGACGCAAATATCATACGTTTTTTCATTCCCCTTTTCATCCATCATGTTAGATCTAAAACCCGAAGTCGGGAACGTGGAGTATAGCGAGAGAGGGACTATTGAACAACACCACAGACGTCATCATCATGCTGTTGTGGTGCAAGGCAATGAAGATGAGCCGAGGAGTGTTTATCAACTGAGTTGGAAGACTATTATAGCTTTTATCTCTCTCTCGATGGCGAATTCTTGTGCTGCTCTAGCCAATACCGTAGGTACCTTCCACGATCTTAGCTGATCAACGACTAATAACACCTTTGCGCAGGCCAACACCGTCATAAAATTTCAGGTCGCCTCTGTTGCTAAAAGTCCAGCGGATGCAGCTCTCTCATCATGGATAGCCAACGGAAGTTTCCTCGTCGTTCTCGCTCTTGGTCCGATTTTTGGTAGTCTGAGTGACAGAGTAGGAAAGAAATGGTTCATGGTTTGCGGTGCCATTCTTGGTTTGATTGGTAGCGTAATTGCAGGAAAAGCAGAGAATACACTTCAAATCATCGGAGGCAACATCTTGTGTGGAGCTGCTAATGCTGGATGTGTGAGTTAAATTTCACATTTCCTGACATGCCTTGGACTAACGAGCACATAGATTGTGTCAATCTCAGCAATCCAGGAGATTATTCCAAACAGACTTCGTCCCTGGGCTACGGGAGCCTCACAAGCCATGGCTAGCGCCTTCGTTGTTCTTGGCACTTTTCTTGCTGCCGCTTTTGTCATGGTGAGTGCCGGAGGAGCTGGTGGATGGAGATGGGCGTATTATTTCAACGGCATCATCTATGGAATAACAGCTGTTATGATCGCCTTCTCATACTTTCCACCTCGTCCTAGACTTGGCCGACACAAGATGCTCAGTTCTATCACAAAAGAAATTGATTATATTGGAATTCTCCTCATGTCAGGGTCGTTCGCTTCCCTTATCATCGGCCTTACCTGGGGTGGAACTACTCATCCATGGAACTCGGGACAATGCATCGGAACGCTTACTGCTGGGTGTATTGGCCTCGTGATTTTCGGACTTTGTGAGGCTTTCGTCGTCACCGAAGGAATCTTTGATCATCGACTTTTCGAAACCATGAACTTTCCCATTTTGCTTTTCGTTTGCACAATAGATGGTATGCTTCTTCTCGGCGTCAATGTCTTGTACTCACAGGAGATCTACGATCTTTTTACAGCCGATGCTGTTCGTATTGCTGTCACTCTCTCTCCATTTTTGATTACATCAGCATTTGGGTGTATTCCAGCTGGATGGGTAATGGCTTCAACGAAAGCATACCGTTGGATGCTGGTCGGATCCTTGTTTTGGTGTGCTTTGTTTACAGGTCTTATGGCCATGGTAACTTCAACCAGACTCCCTATGGCATTTGCTTTCACCACTCTCTTCGGCCTCGGAACTGCTGTGACTACCACCATTCCAACTGTGGCTTTGGGGTTGTCAGTTCCAGCATTCTTAATCGGAACAGCGGCCACTGTCAGTAGCAGTTGTCGTGCATTGGGAGGCGTTATCGGCATCACCATGTTCACTGCTATATACAATAACAAATATGCAGAGCTGGTAGGACCAGAAATTGCTGCCAATACCAATGCACCTGTTCTTATTGATGAGAGTGTGGAGGCGTGGAAATATGTTTGGATCGCGGTGGCTTCTCTTCTTGCAGCAAGCGGTGTAGCTGCATGCTTCTTGAAGAGCGTTGCACCGATGATGAACCACCACGTAGAATCTGCGCTGGAACCATCGAAACTTCGTGAAGCTCAACTTTCTTAATCTCTTTCTGGTCCACTTTTAGTCTAGCGCGGCGCTTTACCTGTATGTTATTATGGTCTTGATGAGTTAGCTCTCAATAAATGAAATGAGTATCCCACACACATACATCATCTATCCTTGTGACCGTGAAACTCTTACTGCGTATCAAGGATAGAATGAAAAGATGAGGATAGAATGAAAAGCTCATGAGGATAAGCATTGAGGATTTTTTTCGGATTGGGCCCGTGTGAATCAATCACATGACCGTCCATCATTACTCGCCATTCTCTGTTGATGTCTTGGCATGATTGTTTGTTTTATATCTGCCAGCACCTTTTCTGTCACACCTCGCTGGCTTCGGATTCACAGACTGATAAAGAAATCTGCACCAAAGCCGGGAATGTTTTACTTGCTAAGTGGTGGGAAAACATACACTAGAACTTCATTTATCTCTTATCTCATCTACGGCTAAGTCATCTTGCGGCACCGCATTGCAACAGTTGTAAAATCGGGGTTTGAACCTATGATGTCAATCAAACAGATGTTTCTGTGTGTCGAAGGAAGCCTAAGCTGTGTGAGAAGTAGACCAACTGTTGGTGGGCATGGGAAATCATATACATCGCAGCTTTTTCTGTTGTCAGTACTCCCGATACATACCTCTTATTCCAGTTGTCAAATATGACGCAAATGATACGTCGTATGTCTCACGTCGTTTCCTTTAGTTGTCTCGGTACTCTAGTTTCTCTTTTCAATTTTACGCCTTTGGAGAAAGCGCCAGCAAATCAAAAGCGAACATGGTTGTCAACGTCCTCCCAATTATCCGCATACGGAGCGAATATTTGGCTACGATTTATTTCGCGATAACATGGATCATGCAAAGCGGTCCAAACTACTAGAAAGATGGACCATTCGATTTGAACAGTATGGAGACACATTTGCCGCGATTCTACTTGGTGCTCCTATGATTGCTACTATTGACCCTTTGAATGTACAGACAATGCTTGGTTCAAACTTCAAAGATTTTGGTGTACAGCCTCTGAGGAGATCTACAACGGTTCCTTTCTTAGGCGAGGGTGTATTCACAATGGTGATCATAGTTCCACTTCAATGTCGCGATTTTCATTAGCAGTCTTGATTCGGCGACGCGTTTCGTTAGCCCATGTTATTTTACGAAAAATTCGCATTGCATATTTATGGAGAATATTCTTTCAAAAGTTATCACTGACACTGGATGATAGGGTGGTCCATTTTGGCAGCACTCGCGTAGTCTGATGCGCCCAACCTTCACCAGAACTAATGTTGCCAATCTACCTGCATTCGAGAAGAATCTGCAAAAGTTCTTTAAACTGTTACCGGAAGATGGATCCACTGTTGATTTGAAACCAATGTTATGCAAATCAGTATTTCGACTTCCAAAAATCTTTGTGAATTGAGCTTCTTTGATGTGATTTCCAATGCTTATATTTCTATGTATCTAGTTCATCGATACGTCTACTGAATTTCTCTTCGGCGAATCCATGGACATGCTTTCTCCGGAGCAACCTAATCGATCCCAGTAATTTCTCGACGCTTTCCACTACGGTCAATCTGGCACTGGACCACGCCTACAGCTAGGAAAACTGGCCTTCCTGTATCGTGACAAGAAATAACTATGATTCTATCAAAGTAGCACATGCATTCGCCGACATTTACGTTGACAAAGCAATAAGATACCGTACCGATGGTCTGTCGAAAGAGGAACCTACTGAAAAAGATAGATCTGGATATAAGTATGTTCGACTACACGATATGGCTATGCAGACCGACAATCGTAGCGAGCTTCGAAGTCAAATTCTGCATGTGTTTCTTGCGGGACACGAATCTAGCGCTATCACCATCGGGAATGCACTACTCCAACTCTCTTGAAACCCAAGCGTGCGGGAAAAGCTTCGTCAAGAAGTACTAGAAGCTCATGGTACCTCGATCTCGAGATTTACACATGACAATTTGAGAACATTGAAATATTTGCAGAATGTCATCAAAGAAAGTGAGTAACCCCGGTCGATCTTTACCGCAAGTCGCTAAACGGATACTCTTAAGCACTTCGTCTTTATCCGCTAGCTAGTATCGCTTCACGAAAGGCATACAAAGATGGTGTTCTTCCGAGAGGTGGCGTCCCGATGGTAAATCTCCCATATTTGTTCGAAAAGACACCGTGATTATCACCCCTCTGTATAGTCCTCACAGACTAGCAAATTGTTTTCAGCCAGATGGAGATAAATTCATCCCCGTAAGTCGAGCAGATTTCTCATTCCCCATTGCCGCACTCTATCCACCCCATATGACGTACATCCCCAAAACATTTCACCGAACCCATCAGTGGGTGCACGGATTTATAGTCAGCCCCAAGTTTTCCATGCTTTTGATGCATCCAATGTCCCATTGATGCATCTCTAAGTCTGTAATCTCCTTATTCAATCTGAATGAATTTCTTTTTCCTTTCCGAATCTTTGGAAATTCGAATCAACATTCATGAAGGCATTCCCGAATTCAGCTCTCCCACTTTCATGTCACCCATCCAATCATTAATGTCCTCTCTCCGTTCGCACGCCATCCCTTACCCCTCCCTAAATTGATTAACAACCCCTCCAGTCCCGCTGTGAAGACCCATCTCTCCATCCAGGAGCAGCCTACATATCTTTTGGATGGTAATTCGTACATGTCCCGCCCAGCACCTCGCAGAAATAGAAATCGCATACACATTAGCACGTATGTCTCAGAAATGGAAGTATCTGGAGTGTAGAGATGAGGTGGAAGAATGGGTGGAAGAATTGCCGGTTTCAACAAGTAGTCGGAATGGTGTTAAGGTTGCTCTCATTGCTGAGTAGAGTCTATGGTCGCCTGTCTCGAGCTCTGATTCTCTGTGGAATAGCATGAGTGGTGATGCTGCAACTTTGAAATAGGCTAAGAATATGTAATTCTTCGCTGCTAATAAAGGTGAAATTCATGTCATTGCGGAAAGTGGTGCTCTTGGTACAATTTATTCGAATCAGTTTGTTGAGATCATGGCGATTACACATTGCACACATGAGGATACATCATTTCTACAGTCACAATCATCAAGCTTGAACGACGAAGCATTTAGAAATCGTATCATTTTATTATATTAGTGGACAGCTGTCTAACTAATTTCCGGATACTGTAACAGGATGTACCCGAAAACTCTAGTATCTATGGTCTACATTTATTGCAGATAATTGAGAACCCAATCGAGTCATTATCTATCCGGGTTTATTAAGTTAAAGCAGTTGATACCACCATTATCGAAACAACATGGGGGATCAGTGCCTGCGCAATTACCATCAGGTCTACAGTTGCAAATTGGCCACACTGGTCCGCACGAAAAATCTAAACAGCAAACGGGTGCGTTAGGACCTCCAGCTCGTTTTTTACATCCATCCTCGAAACATTGTCCGCAATCATCGCTCGTGCTGAAGTATCGCTTTTCGTAATATTGACTTGAGGGTGCCAAACGAGTAGCTCCGACAATGGGAGGAATGATGAGGACGGTAGGATATGCCGGCAAAAAGCTGCTGTATATCGCGGAGGTGACTGTACCACGCTCCAACATCTCAGGAGGCAGCATGACCGACGTGCGCTTAGCAGGATACCACCAATACCACCCCGATGGGCTGGTTGGGGCATAGTAGATAGGATGACGATCGCCTCCCACGCCGCCCACGATGACGACACCATTTTGGGGCATACCGGCGATTTCTTTACCGTAGACGACAGGAGGGTTATTTACATTGTCTGTGTCTTCCTCTTGCTCACCAGGAACTCCAGTTGGACACCAAGGTGCTTCCTACAACAGAGCAAAATTAGTTACTGTTTGCTATAGAACTTTCGGTGCGGAATGAGGGGATATTAAACGCAACAACTTATTTTACTTACAGTAGTAGTTGTTGTTGCAAACACAGTACATCCTGAGACCAGCGATGTCTTAGTAGTTGTACACGAGCCAGTTTTGCATGAGACTATGAGATCGACAAAGTTAGTGACTGCCCAAGTAAAAGTTCAAGATAAGCTGAGAAATTCAAAGCTGTCTCTGCCTTGAGAAGTGAAGCGGAGACAAAAAAGGTATCAATAGATACCTATGAAGTGGGCTTACCAAATTCATCTGTAACAGTCGAAGTCTCACACTCAGACTCAGTCTCGGACTCGCTACTGGGCTGACCGGCGGTATCGCAGTTTACAGTGCAGATAGTACCGCAATGTTGTGTGCAAGTGGACTTTGGCGGAGCTTTGTGGAAACTAGTTGTGGGATGACTCTTATCTGGGGGGCAGTTAACCTTGATGAGTCCAAAGTTTAGACAAGGCAACTTTGGTACTGGAGGCCATGGAAGTGGAGGGAAGGTTGGGAAAGGGATTTTAGGGTCCACGGGGTTAGGCTTACTAGAGAATAATGGGTTAGTGATTGCTCTTTGAACTTTCTGCACCAGAAAATGAAAACTGCGAGGCTATAACTTGGAGTGAGGATTTTGACTTACGGGCGCCAATAGTAACCATACGATTGTACCGGCACTGTAATTATGATAATAGGAGAAGTAGTCTGTCCTGAGGTCGTCGGTACCGGAATGGATATGACGGCTGTTGTGCGGCTAGGATCATTGGTGAGACTTGTAAGCTGATCTATAGAGAAAGTTTGACAGACTACATTGGAGCAATAAGTGGTCTCCGATAGACCCGGCCATTCAACAGGAGGGAAAATGACAGCGCCATTCGTTGATGTAGATGTGATAGTTGCTGACGCATCACCACCAATTTGCCAGTTGGATGGCGAAGTGACAGGATTGAACCACAATTGAGTTGTGTACACAATCGAGATCATATTGACTGTAATAATCACAGGAGATGGCTTGAACATTGAAGTCATAGAAAACGAGAAGTCGGAAGAGTCAGTGACGACCATGTCGAAGAAACTAACCGTCGATCCTGTACTTGGTTTTGGGGTAACAACAGTGGTGAGCACAGTAGCGTCATTACCTTTGCCAAGAACCAAAGTAGTTTTGACTGGTGGAAAAGAGAAGACAGTTTCACCATGATATGTACTGGGTGGGAATACCTGTATGGTGAGGGAGAGTTAGTGAATGGTTCTCAAGAACATTTTCTGATTCAATGGAAAGTATGGGGCAATTAATTCGATGTGTAACTTACAAATGTACAAGGAGGATTGCAATCAACTTCAGGGTCCTGAGCTGTAAATATGGCTGGGTCAATATACACTGGACCTGAACCATCTTCAAGTTTTGACTATGGGATGTTAGTGGTGGAACTTCCAAAATGGAACAGAAGATAAAAGCCAGCTCAAGTGGTCCATCAAATTGATCGATTCAAACCATCGTGAGTGTTCATGCAAGTCCAACATGAGATGAAAAACTGGAATCAACTTACGCAAACATCGCTCGGACACCATCCATGCCAGCAAGCAAATTGGCAGAGCGGCCCAAAAGTAGCATGATCGAGACCAGCTGCAGGGACGCCCACAACATCGGGGTTTGCTTTAGGTGGTACATTAAGTGGACCTTGTGCGGTGCAAGTCTGTAGATCGAAGATTTAGTAAATTTTCACCAGAGTCGAGGGGAAACAAAATATAGGTAGTCTACTTACGCAAGCGTTGATTGGGCAATATCCAAAGTTGCATGCAAAACTGCAAAGACCTTCGAGTAAGCCAGCACCAGTACCAAGGACACAAGCTGGAGGCGTAAAAGGCGAAACTGTTGGTGTGGCCATCGGCAGACCGGATACGGTACCACACTAAAAAATGTTGACGTTAGTAATTCCGCATGAAGTGAAAGAGTGAAGCATAGCTAGCCTCCTCAGGAAAAGAGGACATGAAAGAACAGCTTGACGTTAGACATTGAGAAAGGAGATTTTCTTACATGTTCTGGAGGACAGTAGCCATAAACACAAGCAAAGTTGCATAAACCCTCATAATTTGCATCGGCTCCAGCGATAGGATAGCCAACTGGTCCTGAGACCTTTGGAAGCTTTGCCTTTCCCATGCCGGTACAGTAACAAGCGCCTTTGGGACAGTAACCAAGTGCACAAGAATATGCACAGAGCTTTTGAAAGTCGCCAGCGCCAGAACCACTGGTACAGTTCAAGTTGCAGATACTGGCGTCAGGCAACGCAGGGGATAAATCACCCGTTGCACCCATGACATATGCGTTATAGTTTGCGAGTCTTAGTTGGCAGTCATTGGAGATGTGGACGTCACCAATAGCTGAGCATACGACTGTGCCGCCTCTGCTGATGACAATAATCACAGGTCCAGTGCCCTTGATGTCAACACTTCCGTGATAGATACCCACACCTCCATATGGTTTCTTCAACCATTTAGCGCCAGTATCAACACCACCGATGGTAACGATGACATCTGCTTCGGAAGAAAGAAGTGCGGAGTAGAAGATTTTGTCTTGCGCCACCTTAGATGGTGGAAACTCAATCAACAGTCTAAATTTATTCAATATTAGCAACTGTGTGTTGACAATGAGAAGTGGAAGGAGGGGTTTGATTTATACTGACTGAGAAGCAGTGTTTCCTGTTGTGCCACCTGTGCCGCAGCCTGCAGAATTTGGATTGGGACGATACCAAGCTTGGACTCCTTCTTGGCCTATACTTGAGTAGCCAGTCTTGTAGGTTTCGATGATGTAAGGAAGGAACAAAAGCCAGGCGTCATGGGGCATTCCCAAAGCATAACTGTTAAAAATCATGGTATTAGCGTTGTCTGTCAAGGACAGAGTTGTGGTAGGTAAAGGAAGAGATGTGCTTAAAGAAGAGGAAAAATGTGCTCGAGATCGGGGAGTAAAGCTGGGTGAAAGCCAGCAAAAGTTGAGGACAGTGTACGTACTTGTAAGGGGCAGAGCGCATTGCACCCATGGTTGTTTCATCAATAGGTCCAACTGTCACGTAATATGATTAGAAAAATGTAGTAAAACGCATGAATCATAAAGATGAAAGTTGAGACTTACCGTAATGAGATTCTCCGTAGTCGTTCCATGATATGATTTCAACGAGATGAGGTTGCCAGTATATGACTTCTTCCCATCTGTCATACCATAAATCGTCGCCTCGCCAAAGCCAATTCTTATGGAACTGTGGCAGATTGGTGTAGAACCAAGGGCTTACAGGCATCATGTAAGGCATTTTACCAAGAAATTGGTTGTATGAGGCGTCAACATATGTGTTCATGTCTGTGTTGCCCCAAGGCCAAGCTATTTTGTGTTAGAAAAGGAAATAAATTGGGGACTCATTACTTACCAGCCCAACTGAAGAGACCATCTGCAACACCAAGTTTTACAGCAGCTTGAGCACCTAGGGAAGACCAATCTGGAATGAAGACAATGCCGGTCTGTGCCTTGATTTGACGCCAAGCATCAGCATTTCCTGCTCCCTCGAAAGTGGAAACCAAAGGCTTTCCCTTATAGATGTAATATGCATCGTTTCCAATGTATTGATTGAGGTAACCCATGATGGCGTCATATGACCAGTTACTAGTCTCGTCAAACGAGAAAAGACACTTGAAACCGACTTTCTTGGCAGCAGCAAAAGCATAAGCTACTTGGGTCAGTAAGTTCTGATCTGTGCTAGCCATATTCAAGACAAAGGCATCAATGTGAGCCTGCTTTGCTCTCTGTAAAAATAAGTCAGCGCTGTCCAAGAGTATCGAGAGTTCATGCAAAGGAGGGAAAACTTACGGTCATGTCTCGAGTCCATTGTGAAACTCCCCAAAAGGGAACGTTGCCGACCTAGTTCAAAGGGTTAACATTCAACAACAAAGCTACGTGCAAGCAGATGCGAGTGTTTAGCCAACCATGAAATGAGC